TGCAAGACAAGATTATTGAATACATAAAATCTAGGAAGTACAGCTTTATCTGATGGTGTTCATGTCAGATGATCATTACAATCTTGGAAGGTGAAAGTGTGATGGTGAGTAGATGAGTACATTGTTCTGCTGGTGTTATGAGGCCTGTCTGGTTCCATCTCTCACCTTGGAGGCTGAGGGGGTTCATGCTCTCCATGTCCTGCTTTCACACTTTTAAAGAAAGGGAAAGTCTCCTATTTTCTAGAGAGATGGAGCCTAACAATTTGGCCTGTATCCTCCAGGGCAGCATTTTGTTTTTAGAGCCGTAGTAAATCAGACAGGAAGCTGGTAGCTAACTGCAGGCGTACAACCTATCGCCACAGGAAGAATACACGGCGTCTATTAGAGCCATTAATGACCGCTCCAGAACAATAACAGCAGGAAATGTGTTTCCCTGAGAGGCCTCGCTTTGGATTTATTTCACTAAGACCTGCAGCAAGTTCCAAGCAACAAACCGGAGTCACACCCAGCTCTGTGTGAGAGGATTTTTACCTGTATGTTTGTTTGGATGTCTGCAGGCCTGTTGAGTGAGTGCCTCGAAAGTGAAGGGCTACACTCTCACGATGTCTGAGGTCGGTTATGAGGAGAGTATCCCACAGTGGGAAATCCAGGTGGCTTTGTTGGTTTATGCTCCAGGGGGCAAATGGATTTCAAAGTGTGGAGTTGGATATACAACCTTCAGAAGGCTGCTCTCTGCTCTGCTGGTTTAAAAAGTCACATTTCTGTATATGAAAATGCATAAGCCCTGAATAGAGAATAAAGTTTAAACTGTTTATTTATTCAGGTGCACATAATGCACATTCACAGTGGATTTTAAAAAGGGATTAATTCCAAATTCATCCTGCATTCACTGCTCCACAGATTAACTTGGTTGATGTCTGGATTTATTTACTGTTTTCATTTAGTTCTGTATTGAATCTCTGAAGATATTGATGAACAGACTAACAGCTGTTTGAACACTCCTCATGTTACACTCGCTCCTCAGCTTCTATGTTTGCACATCTTCCTTCATTATGTTGCAAAGAGAAAAAAAGAGAATGAATCCTTTTGATATCTTGTTCTTATTAGGAGGATCTTTGAAGCTTAAGTGTGCTCAGTTTATTTGTTAGATGAGAAGCAAAGGCTAACCTTTAGATGGATGGAAACGTTTAGCTTAGCTCTCAGGTCAAGATTTGACTTAATGAGATGTTTCTGGATAAATGGTAAAGCTGTATTATTTTGTACAAAGTTAAAAGATCCACCTTTGTTGTATTTGTTGATAACCAAATTAAATTTTATCGCAGTTACACCCATTGCAATTTTTCATAATATTGAGTCCACCTAAATAATCTTGGACTTCTCCCATATTTAGAGACTTTTGAAACTTTTTCATTTCTAATACGATACCAATATAGAATAGAATCTGTTTATTGTCCCACAATGGGGAAATTCTGGCGTTTACAGCAGCAAAAAGATTATAGAACAAAAATGGTCACACAAATATGAACCTTGGAAAAGTGTATAAGAATAACATAATAGTGAGGAGTTAGAAAATAAACAAATGAAATACTGTACTGTAAAGTATTCTTGCTCATTATATTTTAACAATATAAATACCGTGTACCTGGAAAATAAATAATCAATATACAGCTATGGACATTTTTACAGTAACTGATATTTGAAAATAGCAACAACATCAGAGATGTGCAAAATCAGCATCAATTTAACAACTTATTGAGGTTGTTGGGAACAGTGGTGGTTATGAAATCTTACAGCTGCTGGGAGGAAGGATCTATGATAACGCTCCATGGTGCATTT